GTGAGGGTGTGAGTGTGGATGTGGGTAACGGTGTGGGTGAGGGTGTGGGTGTAGTTGAGGAGAATAAAATCATCCACGCCCACCCTTCGAAGTTAGCGTAAGAAAATGTCATAGCAGAATGCTTCCGCATGCTTTGTGATTATTTTCTAGCTTTTTCCAATTTCGAGATTTAACATTTTCGAAATTTTGCATTTCGAGATTTTGAAGGTAATCCTCAAAGCATCTACTTACTTTTGTAATGTTTGATTTCTTCGCAATACTTGTGCCAGTGCTTCAGTACCAGCTCCATGAATACTATTTCCCTATATATATTATAAATCGTATATAAAAAATACGTCAATCTATTATTATTTACTTTTAATTCTAATGTTCTACACGTTGTATTCTTTACTAATCCATGAAGAAAAGCTTGTAAAGCTGTTTCAGAAAAAAATTCAATGAAATTATTTATTAATAAATTTTTTTTACCTTCACTTGTTAAATTACAATCATTAAGATGAATACTTGTAAATAAACAATCATGTGTAAATAATTTTCCTAAGACTACAAATTGTGCTTCGGGAATGCTTAATGACGATAAATTAAAACTTTTTGTTGGATTATTATCACCATTAGAAACTCTGAAAATAAAAATAAAAATTTTCGATCGAAAATAAAAACAAAAAATTGAATTAAATACTTTTGAATTTCGCCTAAAATTGTTTCATTTGGTTCAACATCATAAGTTTTACAATAATCATAATAAAGTGTTTTACATTGATCCATTGATTAATTTAAACTAAAAAAATATTCATAATAGATTATCCAACAACCATGAGAATATTCATTTTGTAATCAGTATCATTGCAACCATGTCTTTAACTATTATAGATGTCGCTAAAAATAATGCAGAATATTTGAAAAATTCATTATTCCGTTTTCAGTTATATTACATTCTTCGTAAAAGAACTAATGACATCATTCAACGATTTACCTATTGAAATAATTCGACTTATATTCGAATATTTTACACCAGCTGAAACTGTAAATAATTATATTAATAAAAAAAAAATTTCAAAGCCAAATTTTTCTTTAGGTTCATTTATTTTCACCGATCAATTATAAAATGAAAGCAATTGGTGATAAACATATGGTTGATAATTCAAACAATGTGGTACTAAATTTTTTTCGAAATAAATAAACTCTTTACTTTTGTTTTACTATGAAATTGAGACTTGTATGAAATAAATAAATTGAAAAAACATTTGTTTTTCTAGATTATATGTTTTTAAATATTGATTATGCTAAACGAGTAAGAGTAAAAGAAATTCTTGAATTGGGTTTTTTTGAAAATATATTCTTCTAGGCTGCTGCTCGTGAAAAAAATTCAATGAATAATGATTGTTTACCTATAACACAAATTGAAGATGATGATGATATTGATTATGAACAATTATTTGATGATTATGAAGTATCCAGCGATAATTCTAAATCAGAAATAAAAAAACCCACAAAACGAGTTCGTTTTGCTCCTATTCTTGATGATAATTCTTTAACACCAACATTATCACGTCCACCATCTGTTCGACCAACATTTGAAGTTGAATTTGATTTTGATTCACTTGCAACACCATCAATAGAATTAAATAAAGATGTTTCACAAATACAATCAAAATCTATTGAAAATATCAATTGGAAAGATGCATTTCTTAGTGATTTACATATAGCAAAAAAGAATAAAACAACAATTGTTACATCTCCATCAATTATACAAATAGAAAATAAAACAAATGAAGATACATTATGGGATTTTATGAAAGAATCAAATCCTGAATTATTAGAAAAACTTGAACGAACAAATAACGATAAACAAAAACGTATTGATCGATTTTCTATGCAACAAACAATGACAAATACTAAACCAATGTCGATACCAAATGAAGAAGGTATACAAAAGACAAATTATAATGAGAAATGTTTATATAATTTTAAATAAAACGAAATTGTTTGTGTTACCATCAAAGCCTATACAATCTCAACCTACAAACATATCAATTATTGAAATTCGACTTGAAAATGGTATGTATTTATTTTTCTTTCTATTATTTAAAAATTTTCTTTTAAATTCTTATTAGATGAATTTAATCAAGTTCATGAAGAACTTCTTCATTTTCTATTACCATATCATAAAATTTTATGTAAAGAAAATATTTGGCCACAGGAACGTAATTTTACATCACCCAATATTTCTCTTGAATTAATAAAAAGTATTTGTAAAAATGATAATTCATTTAATTTAATTTCGAATCGAAGTGATATTCTTAAACATTTAATGTTTATTTATACCATAACATCATTTCTTTATGTATTCGCTTATTGTTCATTACAAACAGCTATACGTCATGTTGAAAATGTAATCGTACAAAATATGAAAAATGTTTGCATTGGTTTGTTAGATTTAAAATTTTATTTTTTTGAAAATATTAATTTCCTTTTTTTCTGAAATTATTAGATCAAGAACGTGGAAAACCTTTATTTGATCTATTAACAAAAACGCATAAAAAATTTGAAAATATTCCTCATCCAAAAATTTTACATATTAAACATTTGTTTAAAGATTTTTTTGATAAAAGAAGACAATTAATCGATACTACAAAACAAATTTTGGAACCAAAAGTAAAATATTAATTTATTTATAAATCAAAGTCTCGAGTCTCTCTGGGAGAGATAAGCTATCACTCAATTCTATGTTTAAGAAACATTTTTTTCAATTAACAAAAAAAATTTTTTTTTTCGAAGTTTCTTCTACTTGTTCAATATGAATCAATTGATCTCTTACATGACATTGAACGTGGTCTTTCGTCACTTATTGAACTTCATTGTTATGTTTATGATAAGCAAACTAATATTAATCGAGATGAATTCAATGATTTGTAAGTTATTACTTACCGTTTGTTTTGCTTTTAAAGTGTTTTTGTTATATAATAAAAAGATTAATGTATAATAATATGATTATTATTCGAACACGTCAAATTTCACCAATAATTATTGTTCGACCAAAACGATTAACATTAGTTATTGAATATGAATATGGAGAACAAATTTTACAGTGGTATCAATTTTGTCAACAACAAATTATTTCTTATATTGCTTATAAAACTATTCTACCTTCATTTATAGCTCCAGGTTCGTTCCGAATATTGATAATAAAAATAATTTTAAATTGAATTTATATATACAGAAAAAGAAGAATTCATTGAAATTACACAGAAAATAGCTTCTCCAATAATGAAAGAAGAATTCTTAACATTACCAACGATTGTTTTAGCTCGACCATTAGTGGATAATTTTAAATTATTACGAACACTCGAATGTCGGTAAGTTAAATATAAAATAACCATTTGTCGATACGACTAGTGTTGATCTAAATAATAAAATTTTAGACATGATATATCAATTATTACACGAGATTATCATTTACTTGGTATTCCAATTGATCAACAACCAGATATTTTAATTGATTGGACTACTTCAATGTTAATCTTTGATTTAAATACAAAACTTGATATTAATACAGTACGACATAAGGTATGAATTGATACAAGTTAAATATCAATTGAAATTTATTATTAGATTCAATCAATGACTCTTCATTCATGTCGTATTCATGTGGCTATACTAACCAGCGGGTATGTTTTATTAGATAATAATCTTATAGGATAGTATCTCTTTTTTCTTGTATAGATCGATACCTGATTTTATTCTTTCAACATATATTACACCAATAACTCAATTAGCTAAAAAAATTCAAGAAAATGAATCTAATATTGATGTTCAAGTATTTATTGATATATCTATATATACATATATTCTTTTTCGATATCAATAGATCAAATCATTTGGTAGTCTTGATGAATTTGCTAATCATGTAGCTCAATTAGTCCAACAAGAACATTCAATAAAATATCTTTTAACTCCAACACCATCATGGGTAAAATGATTAGCTGTATATCTTTTATTTTATTCCATTGATATTTTAGAATGAAAAAATGTTACTTCGTCGATGTTCATCTCTTAATAGTATTAGGTAAATATTCTTTCATAAAATATCTCATCAATTACAAATATTTCTCTCTAATTCAGTGCTCAATTAGTTTTACAACGTTTAAAAACTGTCGATCTATCAACAGTTAATCTTGAAATATTACTTAATCAATGTCCTGAAATACCAATGAACTATTTGAAAGTAAACCTTGTTTTGTTTTACTATAAAATATGATTATGTTTTTTTGTAGACATTTGTATCGGATATGCATAAAAGTACTTAAAAATATTTATTTTATATTTCAATGGAAAAAATTTTAGAATTAGATAAATAAAAATGATCAGGCTTACATTTTTTTATTAGATTAAGTACAATTAATATACTTGTGATGTATTTTAGCTGATTGTTTCTAGACTATTCTTAAGTAAAACATTCGTATATTCGAATAAAAAAACCGTTATACGAATTTTGCCTATCCGGAAAATTTTTGTCAATAGTTTTGCTAATAAATGAATGTCGAGATCAGGAATGTAAATATTTTATATGTCATAATCAATCGAAAACACAATGTCAATCAATCATGTCATATCTCCAAAAAGAAATTTCTTAATAAAATTTTTCTGGATATTTATTTATTGATATGTAATCTGTCGTCGATATCTAATAGCAACCATTGACAGCGTCAGGAATGAAGAGAGAAAAAAAAGAATTTTTTTTCATCAAATATTTATTATAACAACTCACGTTTTAACACAACTCATTCCAGCATTTTTCCGTCCGTTTGGTCTTTTCTTCTTCCCTTACGAGAATTTTTTTCTAACTAATTCAATATATCACATGTCGGTTAGTATAAATATATATTTATAATAGTATTTCGAATTAAAGAATATGTTTATAGAATAAACCAAAACTCTCCAATCGGCAGATGGAAGGTAATCAATGAAAACTAATAGGATTGATTTATGTTTTATAATATTATAGAATTACGTGATACATTTGATTTATTTGATCGAGATAAAAGTGGAGCGATATCGTCCGCAGAATTAAAACAAGTTTTAATTGCATTAAATTTTGAACCTACAGATAATTTACTTCGAAGAGTAATGAAAGAAATGGATGCAGATGGCAATGGTTCAAGTAATATTTTTTTGTATATTCTAATTATTATTGAGATTATATTTAGTTGAATTTGATGAATTTGTTAAAGCAATGCGAACTGTTTATGAACGAAAATTTACTGATGATGAAATGCGAAACGCATTCAAATGTTTTGATGCAGATAATTCTGGTAAGAAAAAATTTGTTAATAAATTTTTTTTTCTAAGATTTTCTTTTCATAGGTTATATTACTGTATCTGAATTACGTGAAGTTTTAAGGCGTTTAAATCATGATGTAAGTGAACAACGAATAAGTGAAGTTTTATATGAAATTGATACAGATCATGATGGAAAAATAAGTTATGAAGAATTTGTACATATGTTACAAGATGTATAAATACAAAAATACTACTCATTTTCTTTTCTTTTAACAAAATTGTATTCTCATTTTAAATAAATGTCATTAGAGTTATGTAATGGTGAGTATTTTAAGGGAAATGATATGTTCCTGCCAATGAATTAAAATTATTACATGCTAAAGGGAAAATTGAAATGCTTAGTTTCGGATAAATGAATTCTCTAGACGAAGTCATGCATGACATCTTTGTGCTAAATGTCTTATTGGTATACGAGCTAATTATTTTAGTTGTTAAATTATTTATTCTCAGTTAATTTTTAATTCAGTGAAATGAACTTTGCATATCATACTTATATAGTTTACTGAACTTTCTCTTTCTCACTATTAAAAGAATAACATGCAAATAAATGATTTTAGGCTTTCAGAAAAAAGGTTTTTTTTTAGAGTATTCAATAAGTAGTTTCCTTTGAGACAAACAGACATAATTTTTCTTTTATACTTGAGTGAATAATATTATTATTTTGAAATAAACTGTACTTGTATACTAATTACATGAAATAAATATAATGAGTAAAATAAGATATTTTTAAAATATCGATCAGAATCTTCATTATGGTTTTGAAATAGTTAATTACAAAAATTATTTTATACGAATCTTAATAAGTTCTGATATATATAATGAATATAACCGTTTTATTGATAGGATTTACTATTCAAAATCTGAAAGTATATTTTACAGTTAATGCCATAAGTTATAAACATTTGAGTTCTTTATGCAAATGTTTCATAACATACAATTTCAGAATGTACACGATCAATTTCTTTTCTATATTTTATTGATTTCTTCAAAATAGATAAATAGAAGTATTACAGTTCACTTCTAAAAAATAAGAAGTCTTGTTGAATAACTTTATTTAAAGTTTTACAAAAGTTTACATCTGATCATTATCCAATGGCAATTAGATGATTGCATTATAGTTAATTTATTTATTGCAAATATCTGATTAGTATGGAAATAAATAACATGTAAAGGCAATCTTTTGATGAATTCTATTTATTTTAAAGGTAAATCTATACTAGATTTTTTTGTTGATTTACCTGAATGTGCATATTTGTTGATCTTTCATATTTCTGATAACATTATAAAAGTTACAGAACATGCATACGCGTAGCCCTTGACACATGAAAATAAAAAGAAGATAGAACAGAACAATTGACAGCGCATATAATCATAAAATGTTTCTTTTTCCTCGTTGTTCCAACAGAAAATCTTTATTATTGTTCTGATATTTTTGTCATATTATTCAGTAATCATCTATCTGGAGATAGAGTAATTATAAATTTTCATCATTCTGTGATAATGATTGAAAAAAAAACTTCTCTTTAGAGATTTTCTGTAAAGACAAATATTTTAAGAACTATTTATTGTAGATTATTTCTTTAAGTTGTCAACAATGACGATACTCTAACGTTCTTTTCGTTTGTCGGTAACTGGCGAATATCTCTGATGATATCTGTAACATTTTGTAACGTATATGTAAGAAACATGCAAAAATCAAGTGAAATACTGATAACAGACAAAATAATGTAAATGATGATAACAAGAACAACCTCGAAAAAAAATTCTTATACTATAAAATGACACATTATTCTCATTCATTTGTATACATCTCTTCTTGAAGTAATCTACATCAATATCATTACAAGAAATAATGGGTAACAACTGCACATCAATAACATCTGTTCAAACTAATACACAAGCTAGTGCTAAACAAGTATCAAACTTTTCCAAGGATGCACTTGAAAATCGGCGTATGAACATGCAAAGAATGCGAAGTGTTCTCCTGATTTGGTTAGATAACAATGTTAAAGATCACGATGCTGATTGTAATAATTCAATCAATCAATTGAAACGTGTAGTTACGAACGTAAACACATTTACTGATGTTGAACAATGTGTTGACTTTATTCAAACCACTACCTACAACAAAGTATGTATGATTGTTTCTAGTTCACTTGGTAAACATGTTGTGCCTCTTGTGCATGACTTGTCCCAAGTAGATACCATTTTTATTCTTTGTGACAATCAAGAATGGCATAAACAATGGGTCGAAGAATGGCCTAAAATAAAAGGAGTCTTCACTGGTATGTCATCAATATGTGAAGCACTGAAACAAACTGCTCACCAATGTGAGCAAAATGCTATCTCAATCAGCTTTGTGGCACCAAACAAAAATGTGGATCAATTAGATCCATCATTCATGTATACTCAGATCTTGAAAGAGATCCTATTAACCATCGACTTCGAAGATAAACATTTCAAACAATTTATTACTTATTGTCGTGAAACATTTGTTGAAAATGAGTATGATTTACATAATATTGAAAAATTGGAAGGTCATTATCATAATCATACACCGATCTGGTGGTATACTTATCAATATTTTTTATATTCGATGCTCAATCAAGCATTAAGATTAATGGATGTTGATATTATTCTTCGAATGGGTTTCTTTATTAATGATCTACATCATGATATTCAACGACTCCATTCAGAACAATTTGATGATCAACAATCTGGGAAAACATTTACAGTTTATCGTGGACAATGTCTGTCAAAAGAAGATTTCACTGAAATGACAAAAACTAAAGGTGGACTTCTTTCATTTAATAGCTTTTTATCGACTAGTAGAAATCGTGATGTTTCTCTCTTTTTCGCACCACAAGCTGCTACAAATCCTGATCTTGTTGGAATTCTATTTGTTATGTCAATTAACCCAACTGATTCAACAACTCCATTTGCCTCTGTTACAGATGTTAGTTACTTTCATACAGAAGATGAAGTTCTCTTTTCTATGCATACCGTTTTTCGTATTGGAGATATTCAACCAATGGATGAAAATAATCATCTCTATCAAGTGAATCTAACATTAACCAACGACAACGATCAAGACCTGCGACATCTCAGCGATCAGATCCGGCACGAGACGTTTCCAAATGAACAAGGGTGGTACAGATTGGGACTATTACTGATTAAAATGGGTCAATTTATCAAAGCTCAAGAAATCTATAAAGTTTTACTTCGTCAAGCATCAGATGAGAGCGACATGGCACCGATTTATTATCAACTAGGCTGGATTAAACAGAATCAGGGAGAATATCAAGAAGCACTTTCATCTCATGAAAAAGCTCTTACAATTCGACAACAATTACTTCCCGTCAATCATCCTGATTTGGGAGATTCCTATAACAGAATCGGTAATGTATATGACAGCATGGGTGATTATCCAAAAGCACTTTCTTAGTATGAACTTGCTGTACAAATTGGACAACAATCATTACTAACAAGTCATCCTAGACTTCAACAATGGAGAAAAAACCTTGAAGACATGAAAAAGAAATCATACTTTTTATGTCCACTTTTTTGATAGTGACAGAAAACTGATGAAAAAGAAAATATATCTTTTGAAACTCTGTTCTTGTTGAGAACATAATATGAGCAGTAACACTCACAGGTAAGATAAACAGTACATATTGAAAAGATATGTATTGTAGAAAAGACCTTCGCAGTTGTATTATTATGTCTGAACAAGTACAGTTTCGTTGTGTTAGATAAGAAAGAAAGATACTCAACTGGAACATAGAAGAATAGAAGGAGAGAAAAAGTTAATTTTATGAATAGAATGAATTATTCTTTCTGTTCCAATACTAAAGAATACTTCATATCATTGATAAACTCATTCATATTAAATGAATAGAATACCTGTATACATATACATATATATGAAAGTAATTGAGGAACAGAATCAATACTTTCATACATAATATAGTAGGTATCTTACAGCTTGTCTTAATGTTCAAATTTGTATTTCTTTTGGTCTCGATGAGTGACAACAGTCATCATCAATGCTAAAGGTAATATGATAAAGAACAGTAAGTGGATCCAAGCATTAACAGTAGTTTTTTTGTACTCCTCGTCTTATTTCGTTTAAATATGGAATCATCTATACTTAAAATGTTGTCTTTTACAACAAATAATAAATAAAATTCTATTACAAAAGAGTAGTTATCACAGAAAAAATGTAAAAACTACTCTTTTCTTTTTGGATTACACCATTCATTTTTAATGTCGATATTTTATTATAACATGAAACTAATTGATATTGCAATGTGTGAACAACTGAGAATGCAAGATTCAAATAAGAAATTAATAAAATATTCAATAATATGCAAACAAGATTTACGAGACATTTTTCTTCTAATAGAATTGTATTGACAAGAAAATGAGTTTTATTATTTTCAATTGATATTTAATACATGAACATTAGATATTGATGGTCATTGAACACTTGAATAGGTTGCTATCGAAGATTAACAGTGATCTGTGACCTCTACAACGCATTTTCTTTTTCCACTTATCCTTTATTCTAATTAGTAAATCAAATCTTTTTCAAATGATCATCTATCACTATCTTCTTGGATAGTATAGTATCATAGAAATTGATTTTACAATCAAATTAATCGTGAGCAAGATAATAATTCTCATATTCTTAGAGATATTTCTTAATAATATATCACTCACATCTACATCCTTAAATGAATTCAAAATAATATCCAATATCATTGACAAATTGAACAAAGGCAAAAGTTTGATATTCGATCAAATTTATGCAATTATTGTTGATGGCAACGCCGATGACTAATTACATATGATATACTGGGAAAAAAGCATTCCATTTTCTACAACATTCTATTGCACAAAACACATGTGATGATTAAATGTTTAGTTGAAGCACTCCGTTAATTATGAGATTCTTTTATTTTCTTTCTTTCATAATATTGAATGAGTATTCTAAAGGAAATTTAATTTTAAAAAGCCATTACATACACACAAAAAAAACTGTTTCTTTTTTCTTTTCTTCATTTGATGGTGGCGATTTTAATTCCATAAATGGTTAAAAAAACTAAGATAATATTTTCTTCTTGTATAGCCAAATTATTTTTTCTTTGTTGCTGTTCTACTCGTTTTGTATATGGAATAGGCATGACTGGTTGTTTTTTCCCAGAAATCTGAGAAACACTCTACAGCACTTTTTTTTGCAGTGATTAAATATTAAACGAGAGAGTCGGAGAAAATGAAAAACAAAAGAGAAACAGTAATGCTAGTTACTAAAACATTTGTAAAACAATTTTAAAACATCACGTCACAAAAGATGTTTTGGATGTTTTTTGTTTTACTGATATTTTCTACTGGTGATTGTATTCTTATTGGTAAAAGAGATAATAATATATTAATTGGTAATATATATAAATCATTATGGAATATAACGCAAAGTCAGTGTATATGTGAAATGATGAATTCAAATGGAATAATATCAACATTAAATTATTTTTCAATAAATCAAACTTGTCAATTATTTTATACAAATGACAGTTCGATTTTAATTGCATTTAATCTTAATTCTTCTTTGATATTTATGAATCAATCAGCGATATACATGTCACTGAGTAAGTGTATTATAAATACTGCAAAAGTATTATAGTTTTGCTTTTGAATGGCATATATCTTTGTCATACAAATTATAGTATAACATATATTCAACGTGTTCTCCTATAAAAACGTGAGGTTTATAAAAGTATTTGAAGTTATGTAAAGTTTATCAGAACGCATTCATAATCAGATACACTACTAGTAGGACGAAACATGCAGAATTTTGGGCAAAGCCTTAGCCAATTCTCGTATCTCTTTTTTAATGTCATTTTTCTACTATAGATCAAATTACATCAACATCACCTTCATCATCATCAAGCACCTCATCATCATCAAGCACATCATCATCATCAAGCACCTCATCGTCATCAAGCACATCATCATCATCAACAACATCGTCGTCATCAAGCACATCGTCATCATCAACAACAACAGCAGCAGCACCAGGTCAGTAATATACTAGGTGTTTTGTATTTGTTTCAATAATGGTTATCTCAAATGACAATTCACTCGATCTTAAGGGTGTAGGTGTTGATCAAGGAAAAATGAATTCACACCCACACCCTCATTCTATCCATGAGAGCAAAGAAAAGTTTATCAATGTCTTAAAATCATTGAGTTCGCAAACAGTACATAAACAACTTATGTATATGACTGAACTAATATTTTTTCCATTTTCTTATGTTATTTAGGATGGACAACAACAGGAAACATGAGTTTTGCACGGGAATGGCATACTGCATCCGTATTAGCAAATGGATCAGTGTTAGTTGCTAGTGGAATTGGTAGTGCTGGTGGTTATCTTAATAGTGCTGAAGTATACAATTCATCAACAGGTATTTGGGCAATCACAGGAAACATGAATTTTGCACGGCAATATCATACGGCATCCATATTAGCAAATGGATATGTATTAGTTACTGGTGGATCCAATGGCACTGATCTCAACAGTGCTGAATTGTATAATCCATCAACAGGCACTTGGACAACCACAGGAAGCATGAATGTCGCACGATTTTATCATACAGCATCCATTTTAACAAATGGATCAGTATTAGTTACTGGTGGATCTGGTAGTGCTGGTTCTCCCAATAGTGCTGAATTGTACAATCCATCAATAGGCACTTGGACAACCATAGCAAACATGAGTATCGCACGAAGTTTTCACACAGCATCCATATTAGCAAATGGAAAAGTATTAGTTGCCGGTGGAGCTGGTAGTGGTGGTTTTCTCAATAGTGCTGAGCTTTATTAATCGATACACACAGAATGACATTTTCTTTTTTGAACTGAATCATAAAATTTTTCTATATAATCAAGCTATTTAATCATTCACATTCCTTAATAAATTATCATTCACCAAATAATGTATGAGTTGGAGTAATATTTCGAACAGATATTGTATGGCGGTTGTTGAAAAAGAGCCATAGTCAATAAAAGATAGATCATTATTTGTACAACTGAGTGACTATAAATACAGATGCGAAGAATACTAACCATTCTTTGGTACCAATTACATGTGATGCTAACGCATGAATAATCATTTTCAAGTGAATATCAGAAATGAATAACTGAATAATAAAACTATCAGTTGTTGTCTCCAAAATCCAAGTATGAATGAAACTTTTTGTGTTATTTATTCGAAGTATGTCAAATTATACAAACTTAGCACGACGAAACTAATTCAAAAATATTTGTTACCGTTGCTGAACGACAAGGTATTGAGAATGCCTGAATTGTTCAATCTCTCCCAGTGAAAGTAATATTTTGGTAAAGAAATCAAGAGTAGATTTACCTGCCAATACGTCATTAGAAAGAGCACTATCTCTACTACAAAAATCATCATTGAACGTGTTTTCTTATTCATCTTCTAATATAAAATAGCTAGCAGAATATAGAAAATGATATTATTCGATGGTGAAGTTGCGAGAATGTTTTTATAGGTGTGCGATTTTTTGGCATTTCCGCCGTCTCAGATTTGTTCTGGAAAAATACGTTTTATACAAAACTGGTAGTTCAGGCATTGCTCTTTTTCACAAAAAAGATTTCATCGATTCAGAAGTTGTTAATGTGGTTTAATAGAGTTTCACATTTATTTTATTGATTGTTGTTGAATATTCATAGCTGATTTTAGTATTATTTTTCTTTATCGATTCAATGGTTATTTTTTTCTATTCAAATATCTTTCTTATTCTTGATATTGTCAATGATATTTTTGTCATATTTGATCGATTATCAGACATATTGATGTTTGTAAACATTTAATGGTTTTATTATTGAGCATTAATTATGGTTGAATCGTATATACAACGATAAAAAAAATCTATACCAACAATTAAAGTTCTTGTTGTTTAAGATGCCTCAACATTCACTTCGGTTTGATGACCATTTGGTTTCTTTCGCTGTAAAAAGGGAATGGCAAATAGTATGACC